CGGAAGCTTAAAAAATGGAGTAACTTCTCCCGTTTTCCCAACATTTCCCTTCACTACTCTGCTGCTATTGATTGTAGCGTGATGAAAAGTATACTATAACCTGCCCAGGAGTATGAAGAATAATTGTACCAAGTTTAGTTAAAATCCGTCGAGTAGTTTTTGTTTCTATAAGGAACATACACACAGACAGACAGACAAAAAATTTACTGATTGCATTTTTGGCATCAGTATCGATCACTAATCACCCCCTGATAGTTATTTTGAAAATAAATTTCATGTACAGAATTGACCTCTCTACAGATTTATTATAAGTATAGATAGATGTGACAAAACTCACTCACATAAATTACAGAGATTATTTTTTAATACAAATAACTATATAAAGTTATTAATAAAATATTTTTGTTATGCAAACGTATATGAACAAACCACAAAAGGTGTTACAGTGATAAATTTACTTCGCTCACTCCTCCAGTTGGTGTTACAGTTAGGAACCTGATGTTAACTATAAAATGTGACCGCAGGTAAGGATTTATCAAACAATAAATTTCCTGTGGCGATTTCCTATCTATCTACTGTTATCTTGCTTACGTACCGACTTAAATTTCACCGGTTGTCAACTGTCGAATCGAGTTTGCAACAACATTATAAAGTTTACAACTATTTGCTGATTGAATTACAACTCTTGTGGTTGTGGCACACTACCTTTGTCGCTAAGCCAAGCTATGAACTCTGGAGTCAAGACTATTTGATTTATTATGAGAGAATTTACTTTTTTTATAAAATGAGGAAACCTCAATAATAATTTTAAAACTGTATGTTTTATTGTATTAATGTTATTAAAAAAAATAAAATAAAAAAAGTCCATACGGTTAGGTGAAAAAAGTGTAAGATTTTTCGGCTACAATCATCAGTTGTTTCATAGAGCATCTCTTATCTATTAGACAAGTCCGTCCGTCCGTCCGTCCGTGGTGCTGTTTCAGCGGCCAAACCGTAAGAGATAGATAAAGAGAATGTTTAAGTTATAAGTTGAGAATAGTCTGATAAGACTACAAACCGGATGTGAGTAACGTAGCACTTCCGGTTTTCGAGAAATCACGTGATTTCTATTTCAAACGAAACCACACAAAATCTCCGAAGTTCTCAATTAATTAAATACATTTTTTTTTGGTGAACATTTGGTTCACTGGTTTGCTAGTTACGTGTTAATTGTATACTTTTATCTTTGAGTTTGTTCCAACCCAGTGTTTCACGACACACACGTTTGCTTTTTTATTCACACATATAATAGTCATTTATCAAGACTGTCCAAGACTGTCATATAAGAAGGGGTATTAAAACACGAGAGTTTGTTTATCGCATGAGGCGAAGTCGAATGCGATAACACAATGACACAAATGTCTTAATACCTAAATTATATGCAGTTGTATAAACTACTTTATCTTCACTCATAGTAACAAATGAATTTAAACAGAGTAACAAAGAAGTATTTTGCAAAACTTTTCTGAAATCCCGAAAACAAAACACGATCATCCGAAAATTGTATGGGAAGTGCGAGAATTTGATTTTACATTTAGCCTAAAATCTTAGCCTGAAAGATTAAATAAAAAAAACAAAGTGTACTGTAATGTTCAAAAAGTTAGTTTGCGATACAACTAGCAGTTCTGTAATGAGTTTATCATTTTTATTTTATGTATGTGCGTTTATAAAGCACGTCTTAATAAAACCATCTTTAAATTCGTAATTCTAATATTTCAACATGAATGTAGACAAATAAATATATTTTATCGTCGTTGTAGTTAGTCAAGAGGTTAGGGTTCTATTATTAGATGTCTTAAAATTATACGAAAAAAAACTAGAAGACACGAAATCCTAGTTTGGATGAAATGCTGTTGACATCTACTCTATTGAGTAAAAATCTGTAAAAAATTACGTATATTTCAGCCATCGATGCGACGGCCGTCATTCTTATGTAACCTTTTTTTTCCTTAAATAGCTTATTATGATATCATCATTTGTAGTTGAAGGTAAGTGTGCACAACTCTTATCAATAATCTCTGTCAAATAAAAACGGCACAAGCAATAAACGGCAGTAGTTTCACTATTACTAAATTTGCAATACCTAATTCTGTTTACAGTTTATTACATTTACGAGTGTTTCTGACTCAGGCTATTTTATCCTTAATATATTCAATACCATTTAATTTGTAGTTAGTGCAATTGTGAAAGAGTTACTTATACATTTTGTTCTCGTCTACAAAATATACTTACCTACATGAAAAAAAAACTGTAACATCACTACTAAAAACTTGGAATTATGTTAAAACTGAGACATTTCTGGAGGGCTAGGTGTTTGGATATATGTTTAAATAAACATTATTATCTTTTGCATTTTGGTGTTTTATAGGTATCTCAGTAGAACCACTTTCAACAATACACTCTTTGTTCAGACACAAATACACGCGCACACACACGTACACATACACTCACACACTCATACACCCACATACAGGCATGCATAAGCACAGACAAACATATTGACTTAAAGAAATATTGTAAAAAAATTTTTTTTTTGCTACTCTTTAGAGTTCATTATTATTAAAATATTAAGGTGATCAATAATTCAATGTACCATGTCTTTTAACACGGAGAGCGGAAATTTCTAATACAAGTATATATTTACTTAAAAGAAATTCCCAATCGCAATACTGTATCGGAAATTGTTGTATCAAATAAAGAATTTGTATTTGTATGAAAAAAAGTCACTTCTTTTACAATGCTGGGAAAAGCCTGGGAAGTAATCTCTCGTCTTATTATAATAATAGATTGAACAGAGATCACCATATAGATATGTCACAATGTAAATACCAAAACAAATAATGAGTATAATAAATCATCATCAGTCTATTAATATCCCACTGCAGGGGCACAGGCCTTTTCTATTAATAGAATAGGGAGACTGGGCCGTGACCCACCACCAGTGTGGGTTGTTGGGTGCTTACGACTGCAGATGCAGTTGGGACCAACGGCTTAACGTGCCTTCCTAAGCATGGAGGAGCTCGAGATAATAAGTTTTTGGCCACCCATCCAATGACCGACCTTTGCGAAAGTTGCTTAACTTCACTTTCGCAAGCATTCGGCATAACTACCTGCACCATCGAAATCCTCGAAAGTAAATATTATATTTAAAACGCAACATTGATGTTAATCATAAATTAGGCGATCAACGTCTCTGCTACTGATCCACATGTCTTTCCCATTGACATTTAAAGAAAACTGGCTATAACGACACTCCCAATGCAGACGGAAATGCTATAAAGATTTCACAATATTTTCAAAGTTTATCGTATATTACTTATGTGCCTGTAAGAGGTTTTTTTTGAAGTGAAAACTTCTTTAGCGACGTTGTACACTTTTCTGTAATGGGTAAAAAATGTTAAACTCGAGTCAGGACACGTGGTCTGATCGAAAATTCGTAAGACGAAAACAATAAAATTGGAAAGGTAGTTAACTTTCAATATGTTGGACGAAACAAAGCAATATTTTATTGTATTATAATAATAAGTCTCTAATTAGGACGTCCAGGTGGCAGCTTTATTGCGAAGAAAATGCATTTTTTTACAATAGATGTCGCTAGGTGCATTTAAATGTAATTCATGTAAGTTGATTTTTCTGAGAGATAAACTTTTTAATGTAATATAAATTGTCATGTTTGTGTACGATAGCGCAATAAATAAAGATTGTATTCTACCACATAAATGATAGTACTTTTATATTGATAAATTAAAGCAATTCGTGCAAAATTATTCCCTAACCATTCCAAAATATTAAAAATGCACAACGTTAACATTCAAGTTTTCACTTCTGCCGGCATTCCCGGAGTGCAACCCGTCGTTTTATAAGCAACCGATGAACATCCACTGTACCTCCGCACACATCGAACCTGCGCTTCCGCGGTGACTTGCTTGATGCCGCCAGTCTACCACAGTTGAAAGACCTACTGCTAGATGCTCCTACCAGTGCGAGGTTGCTATTAAAGCACACTGGGATCTAAACGTCCATGGGACCTCCGAACTCTGTGCTCCGCTTCAGATTGCGACCCGTTGAACTTAGATAAACACATAGCCCTTACTCGCTATTCTAAGCATTCTTATTTTCTGTGCGAGTATAAGTTTACTAGCAGATAAACATCAGTTGCCTAAGGCAGTCTTAAGGAGTGAACACATAGAACTTTATAGCTGCTATAACTTGATATGACAAACTACCTATCTATTTCATTGCTAACCGATAGCATGGACCAATAATATGCGATAGTATGCACGCAAAGGCGGTAAAGTTGAGGTTTCAGACTTTGAATTTCTGGCCTTTACCTCTAAAAATACTGTTAAGTCAGAACTTCAAAAACGCTTTCCGTGTTCCGAAACGACCACCTGACTTGCGCTTGCCTTTAAAAACCTAACTACGCTTTCGGAACCAGTTATATAAGAGTTAGGCTATAATCAGACGTTGATTGAGCATCATTAGTCATTATAAGTAGGTACCTAAGTACCTCTCCGTGTCTGAATGCGGTAAAGGTTGTTCTAATCTTTAATTAATATCGTTAAGTTCGATTGCGGCATAGCATTAGTTTAAGCAACTACCCTAGTCCCTGACCCCCACGACAACGGCTAACTAGAGCCGAGGTCCGAGTCTCAGGGACGCCCTCTAGTTGAGCCGGCTCCCTTAGGTTCGAGTGGTCTAGAGGCTCCAGACGGAGAGGAGACTCCCCCCGTAGGGAGATGTATTCCAGGCGGAATACCTCTAGAGGCAATCGCCAATTCTCGGCTTGAGAACCCCTAAGGATCTCGCCGTCCTCAAACCCGGTGACGTCATCTAAGACCAACAGCATATACAATCGAAAAAAAAACTACCCAAATGTTTCTACTATTACTATAGTTTAACAACTCCTATTACATAATGAATTTTCAACCAGGTATTTACGTGCATTTTTCCATTGGCAGGTTGGTTTTCGGCATGCGGTTGTCGCGGCGGCGCGCTGGCGTCCGCGCGCGGTTCGATTGCGGCATTGCTGCGCGCGCGGGCGTTTGCGCTTGTGTCACCTCGAGCCATTTCCGCTTATAGAGCTCGGCCAACGTCAGGTGATATAACACTTTAATACTTATATTTTTTAAGCATTTAACTGCTAGCTGTTGTGGGTTACCTACAATGCGAAGATATGGCGCTGCCTTGCAGCCTAAGGAATAATCGAGTAAATTCGTCACGGCCATCAGGGCCGCGGTAGCATAGTGGTCAGACCTGGATAGCGGCGTGAGGGTTCGAGTTTCGTCTGCTCCTTGGACCGCGTGGAATTTTTTCTAGTAAAATTTTCTTTAGACAGTAGTACTTATTCAACTTAAGACTAACTAACACAATACGCGATCTATACCCTGCCATCTGGAATTGGTGACAGGTTTATGTGGATTATTTTTATACCAAGGTCTGACAAATGACTCCGTCTCAGTGGTCCCGTTTGATGTCAAATGACAGTAGAGTCCAGACGCAAGGAAAGGTGGAGCAGATTTCACCTGCCACACCAGCCATCCTCCCCCTGCTGGCCTGCAAGTTGCTTCTTCACGCCTCTTTTAAAGGACACCTTTTTACAAACTTTAATTCGACTTCATCTAGGCTATAAAATTGGTTTTCCTTACAAACTTCCAACCTCCTTTTCATCCCCTTCAAGAATGAGTTCTAGGGTAAAACTATCCTATGGCCTTTCCCGGCACTTAAACTATCTCTATACCAAATTTTATCTTAATATGTTTAGCGGTTTAGACTTGAAGAGGTAACAGGCAGACAAGCTGACATGCAGCCAGAAAGACTGACACACTTTCCCATTTATAATATTAGCATGGACTAGTATGGATTGATTCGTTTTGATTATGGTTTCTTTGCATCTAGAATAAACATAATTTGATACAGCTTGACTGTGTAGCTCGGTTGTCTAGTAAAAATTGCTCATTTGCGATAACACCGCCCTTTGTGCACTTATTCTACTATATTTTTCTCTTGTTTTGTTACTGTGTTGTGCAATAAAGAATTTTTAGCTTATCTTATCTTATAGCTTGACTGTAGTGATCTATTGTCGTGTGACACAGATAGCGGCAGGGTGGGTGCACAGTACGAGCGGGCGGCGGCGCGGCCGGGCACGCCGCTGCGACTGGCGGGCGTGTTTGCGGACGGGAGCAAAGCGAAAGCGCCCAAATACGCGCAGCTCATCGATCCGCAGGGAAACGTGAGTTGAGATACTTGTTATAGTTCTGTTAATCGCATTATGTAACCTTTGTGGTGTATGCTGAACATCAGAGGAACAGCATTGGAGATAAGCATCGGGTCACTAACACTATAATGCCCTAAGAGTGAAACCTCATCACGTTGCGACGTCGCATCGTAAAAACGACGACGTATCCCACTGAACTCTGAACTGAAATGTTATAAACATAACATTAGTTTAAGCTACTACCCTAGTCCCCGACCCCCACGACAACGGCTAACTAGAGCCGAGATCTGAGTCTCAGAGACGCCCTCTAGTTGAGCCGACCCTCTCAGGTTCAAGTGGTCTAGAGGCTCCAGACGGAGAGGAGGCTCCCCCCGTAGGGAGATGCCATCCGCCTGGAATACCTCTAGAGGCACTCGCCAATTCTCGGCTTGAGGTTCCCTAAGGATCTCGGCCGTCCTGAAACCCGGTGACGCTCTTAAGGTCATCTGAGAACAACAACATATACACATAAAAAAAAACTACCCAAGTATTTCTACTATTACACACTACTATTTATTCATATTTTATCTGTGAGTGTTGAAACTACTTAAACGTGTTCATAATTCCAAAAGCGCTTAGGGGATAAATATTCGCAAATGGATCGATTAGTCAGTCATCAACTCAATGCCTTGAGGTATTATCTGTACGTCTAACGACAGGGTATCATATTAAAGACATAATACACATTCGCTTCGAGTTCGCCTCTCCCACCCTCCCCGCTTCACCGGACCGCGCTCCTGGACAGACTCCTTTTTTTATTACGCAAGCAAAACCTCTATTTACAGACGCCCTTAAGGGGCACACGAACAAATGGACCTCACACCTAGCCTCTCGCAAGTCACACGGGTGCAAAACGTAGAAGCCGTTAAGCAGTCCACGCGGCTTACGAGCGCTTGCGGCATACTATCCGCTAAAAACCTTGCAAATACCCTCAACGCTGTTAAGTGCGGAGCGGCGAGATCCCCGTTGAGGGACTTCACTCCGTCTCCGCACTCTTCCTAGACAGACCCTATTAGTCGAAAATACCAGTTGATATGTCTGTGATTTGTCTGTGACACATTTTGTAATGGTCATCGATGGTAGTATGTACTAAGGCATGCGTAAACCGGACGGTTTTAAAAAACCGGTTGAATAAGTGTTATCGGTTTTTTCGGGGTTGTGTCTTTATGCCAATAAAACTCAATAAAACAGTAAAAATACGTATTAATTGGATACTATATTGGATTGGATACGGATATTGGATTGGACTATAGCTTGGGATTATCGATAAGCGTTGAATGAGATGAGGTTCTGACTACCACATTCGGAGACTCGCTCAAAAGAATCCCACTTCGAAAATAATTCCGAATCTACAGCTGCAAGGATGTTTGGGACGCCGGTATACCGCGTGTCACACGTGCTGTTACCTTCATAGCAAATCATGCCGGGAACTAACAACATGTCATTGATATGTAGGATTACCAGCATCGGGGAGTGTGCCTAACCTTTTGGAACTCCAGCATTTATCATGGGTTCGGAGCAGCAGTCATCGATAACGAATTTAACACTCCTGCTGTTCAAGAACATGGATATCCCCTTGCAAAACCCCTTAAGTAGCCAATAAGATGGTAACTTCAATAAAAGTGCTCTATGCAAGCCCCTGTCAAACCAGATATCCAGACTCACTGCAAGGGCTTCACCTTTGCTATCGACGGATTTAGCCCAATGGTGAGTGGTTTAAACGAGAAGATCACTAGCTGAACGACCGTAGAGTTTCCACCACCGTTTCCCGTAGTGTCGGTAACTAATTAGCTGGTGCTCCTCAAGGTATCTCAAAAGGCAGGTGTTGATTACCAACTTCATCACCTCAGAGAGCCTGTGAGGCCTGTAATTTGCAGGATCAGATTGGTCACCACTTAAGTACACTATTTTAACACCTATAAACGTGACTCAAGAGACACTTGAGAGAGACTGATTGACAAAACAAAATGGCTGCGGGACTCGAACGACGATCGAGCGTAAAACGCTTTCCATTTTAGAAATAAGGTTTCTTTCTCCTAAAATAATCTATTTAAAAAATAATTGCTCCATAGTTTTAAAAAAATATGATTATAAAAGATTATTTTTATTATTAATAAAAACAATATAATTAATTTTATGAAGAGATTTAAAAAGAAATTAAACACCTAAAGCTAATACGGCTTCCCCAAGGCGCATTATTATTGCTCAAAAATATCGGATGCGTTATTGCGATATCTGTTTTTAGTACATTATTATGAGAACAGTTATGAAGTTAGATACTTCTGCGATAATAACGACGTAAAAGTAAGTATGGCAAAATATCGCTAAACTCATCCGATATTATCGACCGATAATTACGCGCCTATGGGCGGAAGACTTAATATTTAGCTCTACATCGACCATGCCGCAGATAATTTAAAAATACAACGCTGTAGAGCTTAATAAATGCGTTTAATTATACTTAAACTTTAGTATTTCTTTATTATTAAAATAAGTTATTGTCACGCCACTTTTAGCTATGGGCGGATGACGTAATTGCGCCGTATATAATTAAGATTATTTCCTGCGTAATGATGCTTTGATGCCTGTCAGAAAACCCTTATGCTTCTCCAGATCCGTGCTGTTAGTATAATTAAGGAAGTGTTTGACATCAGCCTCTATATTGCAATATAAAGAATAGCGGATTTTTCGCTCGAATTATAAGCACTGAAGTCTAGAGAGGTATTAGAAGAGAATAAAGTAAATATGTTTGCATAGAGTAATTTTTAAGTCGATAGTATTGTTTATAGCGGTTTGAGATGGTTAGTTTTATTTATGTTAAAAAAGTGGCAAAAAAAGCATGGAAGCCAAGGTAGGAATACCACAAATTTGACTACAGTACTCTTCAAAGGGGATTTGCGCTTCAATCTGAGCGATTCCTGCCTTAAAATGAAATTAAAATACGGCTTATCTAACGAAACTGTCTAATTAATATGCATAATAATAATTTTCTTTATAAACATACACCTCAGAGGACATATAAGACATTAATCATGACAGAGAAAACGTACAAATATACGCGGCCTTATTACTAAACAGCATTATCGTGCATATAAAAATAATATTAGGCAGTTTCGGACAGTATTCGGAGTATAGTTATAATACTGATATTTTATAAACAAATTATAATTCTGATCCTCTTTGTTTTTAAACACTGAATAGTTAAGTAAATATTGATTTTGTCAAATATATACAGGAACAATGAACCTTAAACTAAAAACCTTAAAAAATATAATAGAATAACTAAAATATATAACTAAAAGAAGTCCCTTTAGGCAAGGTTCCGAAGATACTGGCAGAGTTTCACCTTTGAATAGCTAGACTAATTATTTGTCCGAGGTAGCTCCCAGCTCTTCGGTCTCCAGTGATGTCGACTAACCTTTTTGATATTTACGTAACTGCAACTTTATTTTTATATGCATATATGTATTATTAATTGCTCTATAAAAATAATACGTAGGATACTAACAATGAAAATTAACACATTCTAGTCATATTATGGAAATAATTTTAAGAACCTGACAATAAATTAGAATTTCCTGTAAATTCCAAATACTCTATTAACTAGATACTAAACTGAATTGAGTTAAAGCTGAGGAAACTCAGTGTTTTTGCGACTTATAAGGATTTTTGAAATAAGTCTGCAACAAATATGAACTCTATTATCGAATACATTAAGACCGAACTATCGATAATCGTAAATAGTTACATCAACGACCGAGCCGAATCATAATAATGATGGAAACAATTAAATTTACATCCGACATTACGTGATCCTTCAACCCTATTTACGAGTTTTAATTTAAATTCCTGCCGGCTACCGCAACCCTTTTTGATTGAAAGTTGATTTCACACATAATACATAAATACTGCACAATGTTAAAGACATACTGCCTACATTGCTGATCTGATGTCGAGTAGAAAGAATGTTGCATTGATTTCATAGTCAAAGAACGTAATGAATTGCGGTGTAAGTAAAAGGATTTCAGCGATATAGAAATATATTTAAAATTCATAATATTATTTCGTTTTAAGAATTAAATTTTTTTGTTAATAACGTATACACTTACGTAACGTATACTCTTAGATGTTAGTAGTTTATTATATTGACGATTAAGTACATTATACCTTCACCAGTTTTTTTTTATTTATAATATTGGCTTCTCATTATTGCTGTGTCATGGTATAATAAACTTTAATCATAAACATAGCTGAAAAAAAGCAACAAAATTTTTAGTGCATATTAAATATTTAACTGTATTATTTTGTACGGATGTAAAATATCTTACAAGTAAAGGTGAACTTTAAATGAAAAAGACAAAAATACTTATAATAGTTTTTTTTTAATTACAAAGGAAATATTTGGAATTTAATGTAAACATCACTTGTAGTACTTAATCTTATTAATTAAAGAATGTAAATATGGATGTCCATACTTTTATCATAAAGCTTAAAGTTAAAGACGTCTGTGAGGGAATCCAATTATTTTACACAAGCGAAGACAAAAGAAATCCTTAGTAGATCTATAAGTGGCACTCTTAGACATATAACTTTGGTTGGCATACTAATAGCGATCGAAAGAAAAATATCGAGGCGATAACTTACTGAAATCTAGGAAATCGGAATGGGTGAGTTAGGAATCCTCAAGGAGCCTAATTTATAAGCGTTCTTCTAATTGACAGGCGCTTCCATGAACACGTAATACGAATAGTGCGATTAGAATGAAAAGTAATGTACTTGGTCGAATGAAGTTCAATTAGGATACTTACTGACTGGCTACTAAGAATATCGTCGCGCCGATAGTCCTTAATGGTCATAGTTAAATCACTATTCTATGTGCGATAATACCAAAAGTGCGTTAATGGAGGTAAATTATTATTATTCACTATTTTCTCGTTTTGTTGGTAATTCTGTTTCTTATTTCCTTATTTTTTGTT